TAATGAATTTACTATTTTCTTTAATCATTCTGTTGAAGCATGATTGAAAAACAATCTCTGGCCTTCACTTGTTAATTTTCACAGATTATTATTAATTTAGTCAGATTCAAGTTATTTCTGTGTGTTTTTCTTTTTAATCCAGCAATTTGTCCACGTGTGTATTATTTGATTAATCATTAACTGGGTTATACAGACTAAAAAGGCCATTTGCTGACAGAAAACCAACTGAGAGCAGAAATTAAACCAAAACATAACATTTTATGTAAACATTTTGCATTTAAGATGTAAGAACCTTATTTGTCTGTAAATATGCAGAATTTCTGAAGAAGAACATTTTAATCTTCAACCGGTTCAAATTAAAAAAACAAATTTTCCCCAAAACAGTTTTTTGTTTTATGGTTATTATTTAAAAAACTGACTGATTAATTAAGAATAATAATCTTCAGCTGCAGCCCTAATTTATATACAATGAAATTCATACTTTTGACCACAATATCTACATCTCATATTTTGGAGATCTGTGGTCATATTAGATATGCAGCCCTGCTGAAACGGTTTAAAGTAAAGAAGCGGTTTGTGTTAATAAAAATTCAAATCCAAATAAGACATACAGTACTTTACTGCTCCAGATATTTCATCTTACAACCCTCAGTCCTTCATACTCCTTAGTGGATGTAAAACCATTTTCAGTCTTTCTCATTACATCAGATGTTTTCTTTCCTAGGGGCATTCTGTAAAATCAATGTGTTATGATATTACCCCCTGTAGATGTTTATATCATGTTGTCTGCATGTCAGTCTGACCTTGTGGATTGCTTAAAGCCTCACCACCCATTTATTGCAATTAGAAAGATGCAGTGCAAGCAGTGCCTGATGTTCTTCAGGGTTCGCATTTTTGACATTGACACAAGGTTTTCACTCTTTAGGTGAATTTATAGTTTAGCTCTACTCAAACATGCAGTCTGCACATACATAAACATTGTAACTCTAGCTTGCTCGCAAGTCCTAGCACAGTAAGCTTTTTTCCTCATTCATGAATGGGGAGAAAAAACTTTTTAAAGGTCCAAAGTCTTGTCAATCACAGCCTCTTATACTGAAAAAGTACACACAACCTCCTCTATAGCTCATTCCCATTCTGATATCTGAAGGGACCAGCTGCACTGCGGCTCCACAGCTCAGCAACACCATCTCCATTATAGCCTCTGTGCAAAATGGGTCTATTAACAGCATAACCGCTCTTCTAATGTCTGAATAATTCTTCACATAGCTCCCCTATGCTCCAATTCACAAAGCTTGGCCAAAAAAAAAAGGAATTAACTGGTTCTTTTAGGGTCTATTGCATAAATGAGCAAATTAAGAATAACACATACAAGTAAAGCATAAAAATGTTTTAAAATCACCTGTGTAATTTAAAATATTTAGAAGAACATTTCAAATTTGTAAAAATGTGAAAAATTTTAGAAGAATATGTGAATCACTGTAAGTTAATAATGTATTAAAGGTGAAAGTTTTCATACAGAGCCACATAGGTTTAATTGGAGTTTAATTGGAATATTGTAATACTCTATTTTCACTATCTTATCCTGCCCTTACATTTTGAGAATCTTAAACATTTAATTGTTGAAAAGAAGGCAAAAAGAGAAACATCCTCCTGGTAGCTTATTACTTTTCATCGCACTGTGTATGAAAGTTAACATGCTATAAGAATGTGTTTTTAAACAGCATTGAAGACATTTGCTATGACTGTAAATGTGCTGCAGTACAGTGACGTTTTCATCCAGTGTGGGTAAATTAGCATAGCCTCTTAGCTCCTCTGACACGGTTATGACAGGTCAGATTAGGAAGATCCAGCCTCCAGCATCTTCTCTGGTCACAACATTTGCGCGTCTCAGTCACATATGGACTGAACTCTCACAGCTTTGTGAATATTTAGCTGTTTTAATCCGCAATGCAGATACACAGCATTTTCTTTTTTGTTGTAAATTATCAAAAATGACTAAAACCAGAGTTTTGTGTAAGGATTGGGATTAGAACTTGATTATTTAATGCATATGCTTCATTAATTATTAACTCAATTACCAGGCACTTCAGGCAATTATATATTTAAATCCTTGACCTTTTATGCATTGTTTTTTTAAATGTGTGAGCATAAGGTTTACTGTATGTAGAGAGGATTGTTTTTTATTCAGTCAAGGCAAATGGACAAACATGCAACTCTTATAAAAAGATACAGAGCCACCGTAAATAATCCAATACATCAGTGAGCTTTAATAGGTTAAAACAAATTGTTGGAATTAAAAGGCCGAAACATTTGCATTAAATCAAAAACGTGGCAAAAGCCTCTTGATAGTAAATAATAATAATAAAGAAAAGGGCAGCTTATAAAAACACAAAGACAACCCATAAGTTGGAACATTTTCTAGAGTTTCACTTCTCAGTTGAGCGCATCTTTTTACAGTTGTGTCTTGTTTTTTATGCATAGCTAAATAAAATAAGGAAAATCTTTTTAAGTATGCATTTTTATGCTACTTCTTCACATAAATGTAGACATTTTGATAGATCTTAAACTCTTATAGACAGGCAATGGAAAAATCAACAGGAAAGCTGCACCCTCCTCTAACCCGCAGGGTTTAAAGTGTGGGAGGGAGGGAAGTAGCTGCTTATAGTCTGGGAAATACGGTAATATGATCATTTACAACAGCCTTCTAGTTAAGGGTCTTAACAGGTGGGTGAATATCCTGTCTGGAATTAATACGCTTGGACATGAATTACCATAAGATGATACGTTTTTACAGACACATTGAGCCTGAAATCAGTTGGAGCCCTAGGGTGGGGGGGATGCTGAGAAGCAACGAAAGGTGAATCAGCCTCCACCTTTGTTTCCGAGTGGCCCTGCTGGCTTTGTTTGGGAGCAGAATGAATTATTAACGGTAGCCTTCTGGTCATGTTTTTCATCAGTCTGTCCACCACCAAAGGTAAGGATCGCTGTGCTGAGAGATCTCCTTAGACCGGCTCTTTTCATAGATACACTAGACCTGTTTTACCTACGTTTGTTCAGTTTTTCACACAATCGCCTTTAACTTTTAGTTTTTCTCCCTTTCTCACTTCTTTTCTTTCGTTTTTTTTATGCAGTAGGTTATCTAATTTTAGCTCCATAAACATGAATTAACATTCAATCTCATTACTCTCTCTCAGTGAAGGTCTAACGCTGCTGTGCTGTTTTCTAATGCATACTTCTAAATGAATGCCTGAAGTTACTTGTTTAATAAAGAAGAGCAGCGCTTAAAATAGATAGGAAATGTTTTTTTTCAATGTTGCAAAGGGCATATTCTTATATTTTATGCTGATTTATATTTCTTAGTAATATATTTACTATACATAAACAGGAACTGTTGTATCTGGTTGAAGCTTTAGCAAATAAAAGGAATTTCCTCCATCAAATTTAATTTTTTTTCCACTTGTAGCACTAGCAATTTAGTGAGCAACACAAGCACAGGATTTTGGAGCACCACTCAAATGAATGTTAATACTTTTATATTTTGTAAGCCTCATTGCATCTAATGAAAAAAAAACCCCAAATAATTTGGTAAATTACTGCAATTACAAAGCTTGTTTTTCACATTTGAAATAAAAACCAAAATGAATGAAGTAAAGGCTTAAGAGGATAAATTTATCATTATGTTTTCATCTGCCTTTGTTTTTTATTTATATTATATCTATACACTGTTTACCTCGATTCACTTGACCACTAAATGGACACAGAAATATGAATGGATAGAAATTAACATTAAAACTGCAACGTTTTTGTTGGCAATTAATTGAGAAAATAGGAACCAATTTTCTCAATAAGTGAACTTACTCACAGTGGGTAGAGTTGCCATTAATTTAATACTCCTTAATATTGTTTTTCAAGTAGAATAAAAACAAAAATATTCTTCTAATCTATCAATCTAATCTATTGAGTTTTGTCAGAAGGAAGATGGCAGAAGTCAGGGCTACTGGTGCAGAGAAGCTGACGGACGTTCTGAGAGCAACACCTCATCCAATGCTGTACTGATATAGTAATTCATGCAGACGTAGCCTCCAATAAGTGTGTTGGTTTTGTTTTTTGTTTTTTTCACACAGAACACTGATTTACTTTTTCGAAAGGTCAAAATTATTTGAAAAAAAAAAAGAAAACCCAAACTCTTTATTTTTTTATTTACCTTTTTTCAACTTGTGATATTGTATTATAAATGATTGAGATCCATTTTTTTTTATTGTTACACTTAAATCCAAAATATTCCCAGTTAAGATATGATTTCCTGTCTGTAATGCTCTTTTTCTCCATCTGGACCTCTGCTTAGCCAATTTGCTTCCACTTTATCCTTTTTATCATCTGCTAGCCAGAGGATACTCCCAACTGGCCAAAGTGCCTGGCAACTGTAACCAAGGGCCAGACATAACTGTGCTAAGGTTTTGGTTAAATGTGGTGTAAAGGCAGTGACCTAAAGGACCCTTCAGTCCAACTGTGATTTTTCTTAGATGACAGGTGGATAAAACCGTGCAGATAGTTTAGGTTTACAGTTGGATGGGATTATACCTTTTTTTTTTTGGTACTATTTATTTCGTCGTTACATTAGAATGAAGTGATTGAAGATTAGAACCTGCTGGGCTGAACTAAAAAAGGATGGAAAAACAGGTGGAGCAAGAAAAGGGGAGGGAAAGGGGGGTGGGGGTTAGTTAATAGAAAATGGACTGAGAGTGATAAGTGATATGTAAATAGGAAATGTATCTAAATTTACCTCTGGGGAAACAGCCAGTCTGAGAGATGGGATAATGTTTCAGGGAGCCTCAGGTGCAGCCAGGAGGGGAGAAGGCGGGGTGATCTGGGAGGAGGGAGGGCTTTGTTTGGGTGTGTGTGTGTGTGTGTGTGTTGGGGGGTTGCGTGTGTGTGTGGAAAGATAGAGAGAGAGAGAGACTTGAGTGAGCGAGCTAGAGAGATTGTGTTGGGAGGGAGGGAAGTGTAAGCCAGTCGCAGCATCTCTCCTCACTGCACCAGGGCTGAGGGACTCCTCGTCCCCTCTCTTCCCTCGTTGCAGTTTTAACTCATCTCCATCAGTGCAGTCATCCTTTTTATTTTGCTTGTTTCTTTGGATAAATGCTTTGCTTTCTCATTTTCTCTATTCCAGGATCCAAGGATTTATTTGTTTACAAAAAAAACTAAAACATAGATTGCTTTGTTGGCTGTGGCAAAGGGGGCTTTTTGCAACAGACAGCGCTTTAAACTGGGACTCCAACTGGGACTTTATCTTGCTTTGCTGCTAGAGTGGATCCTCCCCCTCCCTTCCTTTTGTTGATCTTCCAGGGTTTTGGTCCGAGTGAAACATGTACCAAACGTGGATTAAAAGAAAAAGGATCATGCACATTTCAACTTGAATGCTCTCTTTAGAGGAGTAGTTAGTGAAGCTACGGTAGCATCAAGTACTTGAGCAAAAGGTAATATGCCAGTAACAAGTTTATTGGATACCTGGAGAGACTGCTGATTGATCCTGAAACCTCTCTCTGCACGTGTGGCCACAGGAATTGCTGAGGAGTGGAAGTGAGTGGAGCACTGAGTTCATCAGCTGGCCTCTCGTTGCTCCTAGAGTGTCCTTTGACCAACCTGCATTGGATTCTGACATTTAACACATTTATCTGTTCCTGGATGTTTACGCTTTTTATTTTGTTTTGGCAACTTGCAGTCCAGTAAAACTGAGAGGCAAGCTTGTACTTTTGGATTTAAACCCTTTTCTGAATGACAGAGATGTTTTGCCACGCATTGTCTGACCAAATACTAGAGATGCCTTATAAACAGATTGTCCCCACACAGCCACATGAGCTGAAAGAGCTGTGATAATATCTCCTGCGGACATCTCCCTGTTATTGTAGCCTGTCTGTGTTTTGATTTAGACAATAGCTGGGCATACATGGGCTCCAGACGCTGACAAGAGGACCACCAAAATAAGGGACTACTGTTCAATCACCCACCACAAGCTGAAACTTTGTATTGCATATAAGGTTTCTAAATAATTCTTGATAATATTTTTTTCTTTTTTTTTTTGGTTTGGAAGAGTATCGACAGGAGGAAGCATTGCTTAGAGTTTCGTCCCTTAACCTTGTGTGGTTTCCTTCCGCACATCCTCTCTGCTCTCTGCCCCTGTGGTGAGGGCTTAAAATCTCCAGCCTCCTGGTGGCTGCTCTCATTAAAATCATGCAACGAGGCCGTGGACCCAGACACTGAACCAGCAGGGAAACTCGCCTCATTGAGCGATGCTGGTAGTGGGGAATAATAATACCCCACATTAGGTGAAATAATTTTTCCTACCCCAAAGATGTCCATCAACTGCTCCCACCAGCCATGTATTGTTTAAAAGAAGAGGCAAATAAGTTGCCGTCGTGTCGCACAGACTGTACGGATTTTCTTCCTGTCGGTGTTCAGTTATAGAGATGCAGCTATGAGGGTCTGCTAAGCAAAAGCATGAGTGTGCCTAAGAGAATAATACGTTTTTTGAACTGAGAAGGGAAGAACCAGAGGTGCACAGCGGTTCTCCACTCTCAAGTCAACTTCCTTATGGGTGGCAAATCTCACAGCTGACCCAACTACAGCAAGAAAATGAACCACTCTGAACTGACAACCGATCCCATGCTCACTGCCAACAGCAGCAATGGAGATGTGCTTCGTGGTTGGGTCTCCAACCACTCCTGTCCTTTAGGATTGGGGTTTAAGGAAGGTGTGGAGGCTTGTATTTTGGAGACTGCAGTCATCGTGCTCTTGACAGCCCTTATTATTGTCGGTAACCTGACGGTGATTTTTGTGTTTCACTGTGCGCCTTTGCTGCATCACTACACTACAAGCTACTTCATCCAGACTATGGCCTATGCTGACTTGCTGGTTGGTCTCAGTTGCCTTGTTCCCACCTTGTCTCTGCTACACTACCCGGCAGGTGTCCAGGAACCAATCACGTGCCAGGTTTTCAGCTACGTCATCTCTGTTCTGAAGAGTGTCTCAATGGCTTGTTTGGCCTGCATCAGTGTGGATCGCTACCTAGCCATAACTAAACCGCTATCATACAACCAACTAGTGACACCATGCCGGCTGCGAGGTTGCATCGCCCTCATTTGGGTCTATTCCAGCCTGGTTTTCTTGCCCTCTTTCTTTGGTTGGGGTAAGCCAGGATATCATGGGGATATATTTGCATGGTGTGCTCATTCTTGGCCCACCTCGGCCATATTCACAGGCTTTGTGGTGTGCTTTCTTTATGCACCCGCTGCTCTTGTTGTGTGTTTTACCTATTACCACATCTTTCGTATCTGCCAACAACACAACAGAGAGATCAGCGAACGGAGAGCACGATTCCCCAGCCAAGAGATGGAGCCCGGAGAGGGGAACGGAAGTGGGCACCATGGAGGTCATGGACCAGATCGACGCTATGCGATGGTGTTATTCCGAATCACAAGTGTTTTCTACATGCTTTGGCTTCCTTACATTATATATTTTCTTCTAGAGAGTTCCCATGTGTTAGATATCCCCGCCCTGTCCTTCATCACCACGTGGCTGGCTATTAGCAATAGCTTCTGCAACTGTGTCATTTATAGTCTGTCGAACAGTGTGTTTCGCTTGGGCATGCGCAGACTTTCACAGACTATGTGCTCTTTCAGCCACTGTGGTGCAGATGAAAAGGATTTTGGGGAGCCTAAACCAAGAAAAAGAGCAAACTCATGCTCCATCTGAGGGACCGGCCGCTTTATTAATGGGGTTAAGATTCCTGTTTGTTAATTTTCAGTTGAAGAGCTGAAAAGAGGCTTGTGTTTTGTCAAGGGTTCAGGTGAATCTAATAATGTGGCTTGCTCAGAGAAAAAATGGTGACTGGGCTTTTCAAGGAGACGAATACAGTGTCTAGACAGAGAATATTAATGAGAGATGGGCTTTCTGTGATGGATTTTATTATAGTGCATCAAAGAGGCTTACACGCGCCTTTACATTAAAACAAATACTTTATTTCTGCCAGATCAGGCCAAGTGGGAAAACAAAATTTCAGTATGGAAGATTATACATCATCTGATATCTAATGTGACCTTAATACCTGTCAAACTCTCATTTGTACTTGTGAGGTTTTCATCATTTGTCTTGTCATCCATTTATTAATGCCCAAAATACAGTATAAAGTTCTTTATTGATATTTTACATTATAAAAACACTAAAAGTAACCATGACAACAGCTGCTAATGAATATTACAGTAAACGACAATGACTGTTTATGCTTCTTTATTTAGTCGTTGAGGAAAATAGCATTTTTTACTCAAATTTGTTTTATGTAGAAGAGGAATTAAAGATATTGGTGTCAGTTGGTTTTTCCTTCATCTAGCACTGGTCTGACTGTTGAGATTAGCGCCTTAAAAAATTTATTGATTCTAGATATATCTGATTAATTTCCATAATTTTTTTATCGGATAAAAAAGAAAAATACATTTTTCTAAATACAAGGACTCGAGGCTGTTTAACTTTTTTTTGGGTGTTTGAGTGATGATGACTGTGTCAAAGATGGTGGTAGAAGTTTAAAAATTGATATTATCTGTTAAACTGTGCTTTAAGTAGTCCTCTTAATAGCACTTTATGGGGGTTTTACCGACACTCTTTTAATGCAATAAAATGGAAAAGATTCATGAAACATCAAAAATAATAAGCTTACATATTTTTATCTGCAAGGTTTGTGAACGGTAAAACAAACTAAAACTGATTTGATTTCGCTCATGCCTAGTTAAAAATATTAATAGTTTAGCAAAAAGCAGATAACTAATAATACAATTAGAGTGCTTTACCACACTCCAATCTTTTTAGTCTGATACTTGTAATTTCTTAAAGACTAAAGTTTATCTTTGCTTTCACTTCATTTACCTTGATGACTGTGTTGTCACAGTTGGTTTATTAATACAGACTGTGGTACGTAGCGAAAATATTTCTGTCCTTCAACCTTTCTTCATATTTCATAGTGTAACAACCATTGAACGAATGAACTAACAGATACAAAGGGGGGCATAATGGTGAACTGGAGGAAATATGAAGTGTTGAGTGCATTTGCACTCAGCCCTCCTGAGTCAATACTTTGTAGAGTAAAACATTTGCTGCAATTAGAGCTGCATATCATTTAAGGTTTGTCTCTATCAGTCTTATACAGTTAGAGACTCAAGATTGTGCCTGTTGTTCTCTGCAGAATAACTTACACCCAGTCTTCTGATTGGAGATTGTCTCTAAACATAATTTAATTCATGCCACAATCTTTATTGAGTTAAGGTCTGGTCTTGCTGGGCCTTAATGCCATTTAAAGAATACTTAGATCTACATGGAAATGCCATCAGTTTTCCAGTTTAGGGTCTATGACCTTCTAGTCGGTGAACTGCCCCAAGTCTAAAATCTTTTCCCTCCTCAACTTGGTTGTATTGCTGTATTTACCTCCCTCCATCTGCCCCTAAACTGTAAAGAGCTTTACTGTCCCCCCTACCATCTGTCATCCATGGTTGGTATGGTGAATTTAGGGTGTGTCCTGCCAGACGGTGGGTTTTGCTTGTGGGCTAGAATGTTCAATCCTGGTCTCTTATGCTGAGGCCTCATTCTTCCTGTGTTTGCCCTTTTTTCTACTTAGTTGTTTATAGTCTCTAAACTGTTTGTTGCTTTTTACCATAAAGAACATTTTTATTTCCTCTTATATAAAGCCCAGACTGTAAACAGATTTTTCCAACCTGAGCTGGACGTCTGTGCAGCTCCTCCAGAGCTCCAACCGAGCCTCTTAGCTGATCACTAACAAACCTCTGACTTTAACTGTATTCTTACAGTGTTTAAAATTTAGCGCAGCCCATTTAGTAATAGCTAAGTGATGTCTAAAGCCAAATAGCTGGATTAAATTTAGAGGTATTCTGCCAATACTTTTAAAGATGTGGTATGTCTCCCTGTCCTTTGATGTTACAATCATTCTCTAGCTTGTGTTGGTATGTTAACTAATATCCCTCCCAAAAGATTATTATCTTAGTTTAAACATGTCAAAATGGTTAAAGAGTTGGTGGATTTAAAGTCATGGATTGGGGCTGCATACGGAGATTTAAACAAGTGAAAACTTAAAATTAATTTTGATTCTCATCATGAATGAACAAAATTATTCAATTTTCAGCCCCGATCAGATGATTCCTGTAAAAGAATAATCGATGTATTCAATAAAAGACACTCCTTAGTTATAACATTTTGACCACTGTGTTCACACAGTGGTTCTTTTTGTAAGGTGTTTGTTATATCAGGCAGACACGAGAGCACATCACTCCCGTTAAGATTATGGCTCACCTAGTGCTGCTCTGTGCAGCTCAAGCAGCGTGTTCCTTGGTTTGAAGCTGCAGCAGGTGGTTTCTGACCTCTAGGAGGCAAAACACCTTCTGCATAAAAAAATGATTTTTTTTTTTAAGTTGAAAAGCAGTTAAGAAGTCAGCTTCAATTTTTCTTCCTCACTTTGGAAATAAGTGTGACTTTGTTTTTAGCCAAGATTTGGTAAACCTTAATTTTTAAGGACAACATTCCTGATTCATGTAGCTTAAATATGTGCTCTGCTACCCTCATCTGTCTAACATTTAGATGTTTTATCCTGAGTTGCTACAAAAATTCTTTCATGCAGCTGTTTTGCAGTAGACGTTGTTCTGCTCATGTGCCTAAAATATTTTGTAGGAAATAGATATTTGGAAATGATGAACATGAAATGCTGCATTTTGAAAACCATACATTCCTTCCTACACTGTACATATTTAAGGGTCATTGCACTCTCTTTGCTATGACTGCGAAAACTACAATGATGACCACTTGAAAAATTAGAGGTTTGAGTTGATTATTGATGAATCAATTCTCTCTGTATCCATTTGTAGTAGATTTCCCTTCTGTAGCTATGCTGTCTGGTCAATGTAAGAACAAAAAAGGGAAACACCAAAATAATCAAGTCAACTGTTATGCTTTTGTTTTTCTTTTTCCTTTTTTTTTTCTTCGTACAGATGGATTTGAGGTGAAAATTAGATGAAATAGAGCAAATGTGCAGATCCTGTATAATTTTCACAATGTGGAAAAGCTCATTAAACAGAAAGTAACCTTTAAAATATCCTAATAGAGCTCCAACATAACAGAATAGTCTTTTTTTTTTTTTGAGGTTGATTTATTGGGCTGCATTTGCAGTTTATTCTTAATTTAGATTTTTTTTTTTTTCAGGATTCATAGAAGATATCAATGAGCCATTTGGTGAATATCGAAAAAACATAAATAAATAAATGTTTCTGTATGGCACTGGCCAAACTGCAGTGATAGCAAGTCAAAAACTATATCTTGATGTAAACAAGTCCTCTTGATTTAAAGTGCATTGATAGAAACATTTGCACAAGAATATAAATTAGAGGTTGATAGATATTTATTTATAAAGTGGTTTATAAATATTTACACAAAATACTGTATATGGGAATAATATATGTAAAGTGTGAGTACCTTGTTTTTACTCTGCTGTGACCCTCACCTTTCAAAAAGAGATAAAACAAGGCATTGTTCATGCATCTATTTGTGTTAAAAACTATAGGCTGCTGCTGTCTTGAGTAGAAGGTGAGTTTGTTAAATTACACAATATATATTTTTTTATTTTGAAACTGTGTCAAAGGCTATGGTTTTGTTGTTGCCGCCAAACCAAATAAAGGTTAAAATAGTTGACGTACACACTCCATATTGTTGCCGTTGTTTGTTTTGTTGTTATGTTTATGTTTGCATAGATCTCCTCCACAGTTATGGAAACTTTTAGGTCTCTTTCTTGTGCTTTATGTTGAATATTGTTGGATTTCACGTAATTTGTTATTTGGCAGAAGATGCACATTTCAGTTCAATTCAGTTTATTTATATAGCGCCGGTTCAAAGCACGTCATCTGAAGGAACTTTCCAGACTATTCACTAGATCATGCAGTCAAAGTGGTTCAAAGTTTCCTATCTAAATTAAACCAGCTGATTGCATCAACATTTCAGCTTTTTTTTTTTTTTTTTTTTTTTACACAGATGTTTCCATCTGGACCTCTCAATAATCAGTCTTCAATAAATAAAAAACTAATTAGTTTGTCTTGAACAAGCTGTCTGTGGGTAATATTTTTATTTTGAAGCCACAAAATTAAGATTAGTCACTTTGCTATAGATGGTACAACCATTTTGATTGTCCTCAAAAGAAAATGGCATTTTGGGGTTTGAGAAAATCAGTCTTCTAGTTGGGATACAGAAAACTTCTAGTGCATTATGGGTAGTTTCAGTGAAGCAACTTACATTCTTTATGTTAAGTGGAGTCGCCATTGCTGTCTTTGTTGAGCTGGAAGACGATCTCCTCTGGATCTCCACCTTTAATATAACGCTTCCCACCTTGTCTCTGCTACACTACCTGGCAGGTAGTAACGATTTTTTGCTAGATTAAAACAATGCTAGATTAAAGCAATTCAACATGGATGGGCTTGACATCACATCTGCTGAACAGTGTGGGAACTTCGGACCTGAAGTAAATTCAGGGAAAGGCTGCAGGCTTATAGATGCATGGGCGTTGAACCACTGAGGTGTCAGTCTGCTCATCAAACAATGTTTTAGTCGTAAAAGGTCAAATAAAAAAGGATATTTTCAGTAAAAACATACATAATGTCTCTTTAAGATTTGTGGGAGTTTTTCTACCAGAGTCTATTTAAAAATGTGTCAGGATGGATTTTGACACTTAGAAAGTCAGAAAAACAAAGTCTCAAAATTTCTTTCTGTTTAAAATCCAAATTGTAGGAACGTTTACTGTTTACAGAGTAGTGATCAGTATGATGATTATTATTATAGTATATATTTCTTTTTCTCCAAGTGGTGCAGATTCAAAGGAAAAATAGAAGCCATGTTATGTCTATCACCAAATCATGTGTGGTTGAATCCTTTCCTTTCGACCTAAAGTGAGAAATCAAATGTCCGGTAAACATGCAGCTAAAATAGGAAGGCTTTTCGAGCGATAGACAAACAAATTTTAAGGTTTTTAAATTATGCCAAATGTTATTATTCTTACTAAAAAGAGAAACATCTTGATTGTATTTTTCTGTATCTAGAGATGATGGTTTTTGGAACAGTGTCTGTATTTTTGTCCAACAGACAGCATTGCAGTCACAGTTACCATTCAGCCAACCCAAAATGAGCAGCTCACAATCCAAGCCAGTTCACTATTCACAGCCAAGACTATATTAGGAATTCCCTTTCATTTCCACAAATGGCTGCAATCGACTAAGTTTTTCTTCCCGTTCCGTCCTGCCACTCTCCTCCTTCCGCCCTTATTGAGAAAGGACCACCTGACCCTCAGTAGAGGTGGGGAAATCATAATTGGAGAGGAAGCCAGTTCCTCTCTCGGATTGCTGATGGTGGAGCCTTGCGGCAGTTACCAAAAGCCTTTGATGGTGTAACGAGGACACACTCATACACCCCCTCACCAAGTCTCTCATACATCTTGCATGACTCTTTGAGTATGTGGGCTGCAGACTGTGGTTTGATAGCTGACAGGTGTGTCCTTTAAAATGGCTCCAAACAACGTTTACAATAGAAGCTATTATGGCCGAGATAAGAACCTAATACATTATGTAGGTTTTATTCTCTTGGGGGCAATGATGTGTGGGCCACATATAAAGTTATCCACTAGCTTGGAGAACATTTTCTTTGTGAACAAACTGTAGTCATCCCATTCAGTTTATTGTTAATTTTAAGTGTTTCTACTTTGTGCTTACTGTGCAAAAAGATTTAAGTGCTACTTTACTTTTATATAGATGTTTTATATGTTTTATTAGTGGAAATGAAATGCCCTATAAATTACTACCTTTACCAGATTTAACTTTTCACCTACAAAAATGAACTTTTACCTTGGTCCTTTCAAATTTCCTTGTAGAAGTTAAATCAAAAATCTTATTAATCTCAAAAGTGACAGAATATCCAAAATATGACAAATGTAGAATTGTTTTGGTTTGCTGAAGTCACTTATGATTACATAGGTTTAAATAATATAATGAAATATTTTATTTAATTAAAGATAATATGTAAAAAAAAAAAAAACAAAAAAAAAAAAAAAACCTCAGACAGAAATTATGACTAAAACAATCGATTGTTAAGGGATTTTATCTCAGGGATTTTTCTTCAAATATAAAATAGTTGACTTATTCTTTTTAATTGTTGTTTTAGTATGCATATCTTTTATATTGTTCCAAGACCATCTCTGATTGGTTCTTTCGTTCTAAGTATTGGTACTTGAATTGCTTAGACTGAACTTTGATCAAGCATTGAATTAAATCATGTAGGTTTTCATTGATTAAATGATGTTTTCCTCCACAATTTTGATACTCCATCACAGTGTTTTAGAGAATGCAGTTGACTTTGTTTAAACCTAGACTGAAAACAGCAATAACGACCCTCTATAAAATGGCTACATTTTATCTGCAATACGTTGGGGTTAAACCCTCAGTAGAAGCTAGGCTTGTATAGTGAGTCAGAGAACAAGAGGAAAACATAAGAGAGTGATATTTTTGATGATGGGGAGTTTACAATGTACTTCTGTTTCAACAATAGTTATGCTTACATCAACATAAGTAATCAAAATAAATGGCCGGCATGCATCTAAATGCTTGAAAGGGCCAAGTTTTCCGGATACAGACAGCTGCAGTTAATGCGTCAAAATGATATATTTCCTCACAAATTCGCTATCATAATATTCTCTTCAGTATGTTAAAAATGACGCATTTTTAGTTCGATCTGCAGATTTATTTAAATCACTTCTGTCCATATAATCAGTACAATAAATTATCAGCTTTTTTTAATCTGATTACATTTCAACCTGATTGTGAAATTTTGTGTTTATAAACAAACTAATGACTTGCATCATTTTCCATCAGCTTGATAGATATCCTGTCCCTATTGACTGCATTGATATCTCTCAAGTCAAAGCATGGCCAAGGTTAAATAAGTTTTAGCTCAACATGAGTGCAGTACCAAGTTGCCTGCACCTCACTTGCTCTTTGTTATTCAGCAGAGCATTGTTGCGCAGAGCATGAAATACCACTGAATAAGTTTCACAGCGCATTCAATGTGGAGCCCCCTTTGAGTGGGCCAGTACAATTTGATAGTATGTGAGTTTCCGCAGACAGAGCTGCTGTTGGAGTAGAAACTATCTTTGCTGCAAAAATTGTCTATTTAACATTATTACAATCTTATCCCTAGCCAAAAAGTCTTTTTGATACACTAAGCAAGAGCAGATTCTGTAGTGTCCATCTTCTTTGAGAAGATTCTACTCAAAATAGGTGCAATAAGCTTCCAGTGCAGTAAGACTTGTCCAAATTATGATAGAAATTCTCAAAACTGGCTTTCTTACAAAGTGCAATCATCTTACTGCACAGGCAGATCCATCCATTTTCCATCATGTTTATCTCAGCTGAGTTCGCGAGGGGTGCAGGTGCCTATCTCCTGGCAGTCTATGCGTGAGAAGCAGGGTTCACCTTGGACAGTTCGCCAGTCCATCGCAGGGCAACACAGAGACAAACAGCCATTCACTCTCACACCTAAGGAGAATTTAGAGAGGCCAATTAACCTAACAGTCATGGTTTTTGGACTGTGGGAGGAAGCGGGGTACCAGGAGAGAACCCACCCATGCTATGGGAGAACATGCAAACTCCCATAGGAGTTCGATTCCGTGGGCCCGGAATCGAATCCGGAATCTTCTTGCGAAAAAGCAGTAGCACGAAGCACTGCGTCACTGAGCAGCCTCTCTATGGCAGATTATTGGACTTATTTTGAGTAGATATATTGCTCTTTGGCTAGATATAACATTGTTAGACTTTGGTAGATGAACAGTTTTTACAGTATTGATTCTAGGGGCCAAGGAGGTGGGAAATGAGCTGAGCTTCAGGCTGATTCCATGGGAGTTAAAGCTCACATCCAACTCTGTAAGGTACTCCTGTTCTAAAAGTGGATGGATCAAGGCTGATTTTCCTTCCTTTCTGTCTAAAGTAGGTATTAAAACATTAGTAGAATGTTGAGAAAGCCATTTTGGGCTTTTGAGAGACTAAAACTTAGCTATATTTTAGACTTGAATCAGTTTAGATATCCTGAACAGTCATTGTTTGTGATGTCCTTTTTTTCTTGTTTAATTAGAAAATGTTTGGTTTCAGGTTTTATGAAACAATTTTTTTAGTTTGGTTCGAAGTTCTCATTGATTGTTGTGCTGATCTTTACTTGAAGCCATGATTATAATTCTAAAAATAGAAGCATCTACCTTAAATTTTTAACAGACAACAATTTTGACCTATTTTGATAAATCAAATGTTTCTATAAATAAATGTGAAGGACTGATTTAAAACCATAGAAATGTACCCAATTCTGCTAAACCATTAAGGCTGGAATAGCACACCGCACTGCTCTCATACAATAATTGTGTGGAAAGGTATAACTAAATACAATACCCATTATTGATTGATTCCTTTCTCAAGTGGAACGAAGCAACACCAAAGCGCAGTATGTCTTTATATTTAGTATCTATACTTGAGGCAAATTCATAAAACTGTTTATTTTCAGTTGATCATAAAAGATGAAAATGTGATGCCTGAAAAGAGTCAGTAGTGTATTGATGATACAGCAAGAGCCTCTTAGTAGAACACAGTGGGGGAACTTGACATTAGCTTAACATGAGTCTCTTTT